TTTTTCTTTTGAATTTTTCACCAAAAAGTAGCTAAATGTTTTACTTAACTTTTACCTTAACTTTTAACTTTTAACATTTTCAGTCTAAAACTGTTAAAACTGTTTTGAAACAAAATGTTAGGTCTTTGTTAATGACAAAGATTTTAATAAAGTATTAGGATCTAACTTCTAAAAGTTGTCAGGAAAACAAGTCTGATATATAGTGCAAGCAACATTAGTATAGAGCCTAGTCATTAATTGTGAATAGCATTAAAGTAACCAATTCAAACAATATCAGTAAAAGGATAAAGAGAAAGGGATTGGTCAATTAGATCAGAAAATACATCTTTAAAGCGCGTGTTTAAGAAGAAGGAGAACAATAAAGAAAAAAACAGAAATATTAACAATCAACACTTTAAATAAAAAATAAAAAAGCTGCTTTTAAATTAGTCTTTAAATCTTCTAAAAGGCAATTTCAAATCTGGTTATGAATATTATTTTTTTGTTATTTATTGTTTCATCAAAGTTAGTAAACACCTTTATCTTTTATCAAATTTGAAACAGCTGCTTTTAAATTACTCTCAAAGTCTTATAAACTAAGAAGAATAATAATATACCTGGTCTGGTAAAAGGTTCCGTTTAATTTCGCAAAATATTTGATTCTACAGATAAAAAGTTAATCAGAAAGCGGCAAATAACTGTAAAGCATAGATTTCAATAATATGGTGCTAGTGTGAACTTTTATTTTGAATATTTTTATATTAAATTGTTACAGAAATGTATCAATGATAGTTATGCTTAAATGATAAAGAGTGCACAGATAATACACAGCGGCCTTCTTTGTCAAAATTCATGTTTTAGTATTAAAGAGTTGAGAGGAGATTTTAACCACAAAAAAGTTGTCTCCTCAACTGTAATGGGTATCTCTCCCTGGGGGAGGTAAATAACAAAATATATATAAATATATATATATATATATATATTTATATATATATATATATATATATATATATATATATATATATATATATATATATATATATATATATATATATATATATATATATATATATATATATATATTGATTTATTTATATATATATATATATAAATAAATTTTTATTATATCATTAAGATATAATAAAAAACTTATGTAGCAAATACTGGCGAGTTAGAAAGAAATTTTCTGTTTATTCCTTAAGTCTTTGTCTGGCAGGCGTTTTACAGGTTAAAAATTGAAAACCTGAAAGTGAGGTTATGATAATTGTGATCCTTATAATATTTTTTATTAAATATTTTTTACACACACATACTTAAATATCTAGTTGCATTAGCATTTATAATTATAATTAAATGAAAACATTTAAATATTTATCATTTATCATATTATTGTCTTTTTTTTTTTTTTTTTTTTTTTACAATTAAGGTTTACAATAAATTTTATAGGCATAAATTGCCTGTCAACCTGGTCTCATATAATATTTGAAAACTATAGAAATTTTTTAACTAAAATAAAATAAATGAAGATTAGTCATAGAGAATTAATATATATATAATAATATAAGCCATTCATTTTTTAAATGATTGTCTAGGAGTAGCTTAAATGATTTTAGTGATAAAGCGGTTACAATCTCGTTAAAAAAAGAATTTTATTTATTAACTATTCTTAGAGAGAAAAAGTTAATGCGTAAATGTAATTAGGAAGAATGTTTTTTTAGTTTATAGATATGACCATGAGTAATAAATTGGCTATCAATTTCAAACATACTTCTTTGTTTATATGGTAGATCATATAACCCTTTAATTCTTTTTGAAGCTCTTCTTAAAACATTTTCTAATTGTTGTTTGTCTTTGTGAAGTACAGAGTTACAAACTGTTCCACAGTATTATATGGACTAGAGCTGCAAATAGTTTTTTGAAAGATGATAAATCTGGATAAAATGTAAATGTTCTTTTTATTATTCCTATTATTTGTGTTGCTTTGTTAACTTGAGTAGTTGTGTGTTTTGAAAATAATAATTTTGAATCTATGTGAATGCCTAAATCTCGTTTGCAATTTGTGGGTTTAATGTTTACTCTTATATTTTGTTCTGGATCATGCATATTAAAAGTATAGGATTTCTTGTTATGTCCTAAGTGTATTACAGAGCATTTATTAATGTTAAATTTCATTCCCCATTTTTGAGACCATAAAACTAAAGCGTCAATGTCATTTTGTAATTCTTGCGCAGATTAAATACTTTCAATAGATCGGAAGATTTTTGGTTTGATTAATTCAGGGATATTGTTGACATATATAATAAAAAGTAACCCTGAAAGGACAGAGCCATGGGGAACTCCACTTTTAACAGAAACCCAGTCAGAATAATTACCGTTTATAACAACTCTTTATCTACGGTTTTCCAAAAAGTTTGTTATCCAATATAGTATTGAACCATTTATAACATAAGCTTTAAGTTTAGAAATAAGAAATTTATGTGGATCTTTGTCAAAAGCTTTTTCAAAATCAAAATAAATGTTGTTGATGGAAATATTCTTATCAAGTGATAATGTCCAATAATTAATTACAGTTAAAAGGTTAGTTCAGCAGGAATGACCTGGACGAAATCCATATTGGTGTGGACTTAATAAGTTATTGTTAATCGGGTGTGTCATAATATGTTTTTTTATAATTTTTTCAAAGATTTTTATTGAGGTACAAGTTATACTGATAGGTCTATAGTTAATTGCTTTAGACCTGTCTCTTTTTGAATATGGGTGAAATTGTTGCTTTCCATATTTGGGGTATTGATCCACTCTCAAGGACTTTGTTGAAAATAGTAGATAAATGTTTAGACATTTGAGAGCATTTTTTTATAAAAACTATTGGGTGTAATTGGCCTGGTGATTTAGATGCGTTTAGATTTTGGAGGTATGTTTTTCTATATTTTTTGGACTTATATCAATATTGTTTGAAAGTGGGTTTACACTTTTATATGTTATGTTAAATTTCAGTATTGTTGTTATTTTTTTGTTTGAAAATATATTAGCAAAATAACTATTAAATAGATGAGCTTTATCTCGATCAGAAGTTGCAACAATGTTATTATATTGGATGTCAGGGAATGTCTTTTTGTTTTTTCTTTTTGATTTGACATACGAGAAAAATGCTTTTGAATTTTGATTGATGTTTCTAGCAAGTTTTTTTTCAAATTCAATAATTATTTTTCTACACACTGCTTTTGTTTTGTTTCGTGAAATGCAATACTCATTATATGTTTCTTCATTTCTGTTTAGTATATTTTGACGATCTTTTGCAGGAATTATTGTTGTGGTTTGTATATAGTAAGTAATAATCAATAGCAAACTTGAGATAGTTAATTTTTTTTTTTTAGGTGTATATATATATATATATATATATATATATATATATATATATATATATATATATATATATATATATATATATATATATGTATATATGTATATGTATATATATATATATATATATATATATATATATATATATAAAATACCTTTTTGTATGCAAATCTAGTTTCTAATTTTTTACAACCTTTCTTGTTTCTGTATTGTTTTTTATGTACATTTATGATCTTCCTGATATCTTATATCTAAAGCTGACGACTCAATTTTATACTCGTGTCTTGCCAAAAGTTCTTCACTTAGATTGCTTAGAACAATTAGCTAACCTTGAATTTGATCTCCCTTTTTTAACAGCTTAGAAATTGCAGCGGTCGGTGGATTCCAAAAAAATTCTAGCTATTAACTGCTATTAACTGAATCAATAATCACAACGTTGTTGACATTCTTATTTTAATAAATGGCAACCCTCTCACTATGTCTTCTAATCTATGTCTTGCGAATAAAAATTCTCTCATAGAAAACTTATTTACAACCCTCTCACTATGTCTTCTAATCTATGTCTTGCGAATTAAAATTCTATTATAGAAAACTTATTTACACTTTGTAAATTATAAGTAATTTGTAATTACTTCTAACTATAGTAGTTGCTTGCAGCCTCACTGACAAAGAAGTTATTTAAAAAAATTATTTGTTGTAAAATCAAATTTAATTTTATTGATTATTCATCAATGTTTAAGCATCACAGTATATAGTTTATAATATGTAAAATATAGTTTAAACTCATCTTTATTTAAATAATATTTTCTTTTAATAGTGTAATTTCCTCGCAAGAAAACACAACGAGAAATTTTATTCATCTATCTCATCATTAAACTAACTTCTATTTCACCTCCTTACAAAATCAATCGATAATTTATATTATACTACAAACCTCACATATTCATTTAAAACCGTATAAACATATTAACTAATAATTAAAAATTATGCTAATCACAAACCACATAGTTGTCACTAACTGTTTTTTGAGTTTACCACAACATAATTACAAACAGATAGTATGTAGTTGGAATGTAGATTTAGATTTGTATGTTTTGCATATGTGGTTATGATTTGTGATTGAGTTTTCATTTTAGGATTCATATATAAATATATATATATATATATATATATATATATATATATATATATATATATATATATATATATATATATATATATATATATATACATATATATATATATATATATATATATATATATATATATATATATATATATATATATATATATATATATATATATATATACATTATTTCTAAACAATTTTCCTGCATCGTACATCATTTTTATATTATTGTTATATCATCCAAAACAAATTTTTAACCACTCATTTGGCTTTTATATGTTAAAGTTTTTAAATAATTTTTTATTTTGCAAGTGCTGGGCTGTGATGGAACTTATGTAAACACTAGAAGAAGGAGTAGTTTTATAACATTTTTGGTAGTGTGATAAATTTTTAGGGTAGTTTGATAAATTTTTAACTGACTCTACATTGGGATGCAAATAAGCTTCCATTACCATTTGTTTGAGGAGTTAGATGCTATCAAGGCTCTTTTGGAAAGTATCTTAAGAATTATGAGATCTTTAATAGTGTTGATTTTTATGATATAAACCATAATCTAGAAATACCAGAGAGGGCAAAGTGGCGCATGTTTTAGTAATATGGAGATGTGCCGCCTTGAAAAACTGGTTTGTTCTTGGTGGCTTTTCATTGCCAACTAGATCCTTAATTTATATTTTTCTACCAGCAATGCCACATAAAATCCCACATAAAGAAGATGTCCTCTTTCATTCATGGTCAAATCACAGTATCAGTTTAAGGTAATAGACTAAGTTTTTCAAACAAATGCATTTTTTGAGAGAGCAGACAGACAGTGAGCTAGACAAGATAAAAGTAAAGAAGCAAACCAATTGTGGGGTAGTTCAAAGCTTCTAGTCTAAATTAATTTGCAAACAATACATGGAGTAAATTAATTAGAGTAATTCACAGTAGGCCATGATGATCATGATTACTGATGAGCAAAAGAACAGCCGTGAAGCATGTGGTTAAAGTTTTAACTCACAACCCAGAGGTCCGAGGTTTGATGCCGGCTCTAGCCCAATAAGCGATATTGGTAAGGAAGGAGGCGTGAACTTCTAGTTAAATGCTCTTCTGTGGTGCTCTGTGATAAGACCATAAAGACTTTTTGGGAGCACCTAAATAACCTAAAAAAAAATATTGATAGAGGTAAAAGAGCATTGTGGATCTTTTGAAAAATTTAATGTCACATGCAAGTTTTTTTTTTTTTTTTTTTTATTTAATTCACCTCCTCAAGGCCGAGAAGGCCACTACAGACAAGGAGGCTACTTATTTGTGGCTATAGCCCTCTCTCAACTCTATAACTCTGAAACACGAACCTTGATAAACAAGGCCGCTGCGCGGAGAAACGAGTTGAGCGCGGTACTACCAGGGACGTGGTGGGGATCGAACTCGGAACCACTCGTTTATGAAGCGAGCGCTCTACCACTACACCACTACCGCATTTTTGTATAGCATTATGTAAAAATGGTTACAGCAGTTTCTGCTTTGGTTTTAGGCAAGATGGAAAGAAATAGTTTAATATGTTTCTATCTGCAATCTAGGAAGATTATGCCAATAGTTATTTATATTATTACAAATTAACAATATTAACACAAAGACACATTATAACACTCAATATGGAAAACATGCAAGGTATTCTATTAAAATGAATAAGAGTTTGTTGCAACAATCATTTATTTCATTATTTTTTGCTGTCTTATTTTTTTGTAAAAACCTCATAAATTAAAATTGTACATACCCCATTTTCAAAATTTATATATTGAGAGTAAATATGAATATTGATAGTAACTTAACATTAAATTGTTTTATACTTTTCTTTCCTTTTTTTTTAAATTTATCTAAAGACCTTGTGCCTGTTTCTATGTACAAGTTGCTTGAAATAATTAATAATAAGTAATTTTATATATACAGTTTTTCAGGATCTGCTACATAATTTATTGGAACACTATTTAACATTAAAGTATGTAAGAATCAGCTAATTAATAATAATGCCGATGTTGTCAGCATATTTGTTGTAAATCTAAATGGATTATTATGATGGAATAATGAGGAAATCTTACTAAATGTTTCAACAATTATTAACTCATTGGTAAGTACGTTTTATAATTAATATTTTTATTGATATTGTTCCATATTAATTATAATAATCTTTTATCTCCTATATTAACTGTGATATTCTTTTATCTTGCATTATTTCGGAGATAAGGTTTCCCAAAACTCTAGGGTTTTTTGGTTCTGGGTACCCGTACTCGAACTCTGCGAGTCTGTAGCTAATTACCCAGAACTGATACCCGGTCTAAGACTCGGCGAGTCTCGTGATTTGAATTCCTGGCGTTGTTTTATACGCAGCGGGTTGTTTTGAGAATCCCTAACTTTTCTAGGCAGCTGTATCTGATGCTTAACAGCATGCTTAGATAGGGCTGTATTTGTATTATTATTAGGGAGGCCCATAGTCAAAAAATTTAATAAAATTGACCGTTGGGTCAAAATTGTCAATTAAAAATTTTTTGGATAAACCTAATCCAGAAAGAGGCATTATATAATCAAAATATAAATTATATTATTCATTAATGTATTTTAAAACAATTTTCATTGTTTTTTCAATCATCATTGAAAAAGCTCCTTAAGATATTGGAAGTGTGCACTTAATAGAAAATATTAAATTTAAACATGAATTGACAATAGGCTGAAGCCTTTTAAACTAACTGTTAAAGATCTTAGCAGAAACGATGCTAATCTTGCAACATTCCAATTAGCAATTGGCTTTATGATAAGAATGTTAAAAGAATATAATGGTAATTTAAGTAGAGAGCTATTAATGATAAATAATAATTTAAGTAGAGAGCTATTAATGAAAAATAAATAACTCAAATAAATTGCCATTAAAACCAAAATTTAGAAGAGCTATTAGATTCTCTTGTAAATGGTACTATGCCAAAGAAAATACAAAAATTTACAGATTTATTGAAGAGATTATTTGATAGAAATGAAGAACAACAAAATACACATTATGAACAGGGACATTCATTTCAAAATAATGAAAATACTACAGTAAACGCATTAGCATCAACACTAGAGGAAAAACTTAATAAATTATTGTATATTAAACACTTATAAGTATTTAATTTATATGATATATTTTTTTAAAGTACTGTCAAGTCTATTTGGTAGTTTAACATAAGTATAATTATTTATTAGTATTTTTAAGTTAGGCTTTGAAACAAAAAATTGTTTTATTTACTGAAAAATTTACCAAATCTATTTTTTCAATTGGAGGGAACACGAAAAATCCAATCATTCTATTGTTAAAGTTGCAAGACAAAAAGACGTATTAGACTCGGACCTGATTTTGAACCCTATAAATATTTATAGGCTCGACTCAGGCTTGTTGGGTCTAAAAATGCCGGGTTTTCCCAAACCCTACAAAACTCTCCCATAAAAATAAAGGATGATAAGTTATTTTAATCAACGCTTTGAAACTTTTTCAAGTTGCTACATAAAGTTTGACAAAACAGATAGCTGATATAATAGATAACTGAATTAAATGATATATCCATTATGGTGCATTGTTTGGTACCATAATTTGTAAGAAACCCAATCATTTCAAACTGCGGACTCATATTTTTATGTAAATTTAAATTTTAATTTGAGTTTTTTTTGTAGTGTTTTGTAATTTAAAAATGATTTGGTTGTACAATTGACACTTTCTTTTTTATTAGTTGTTTAATAAAAATTATTTTTTCATTAAACGAATCTTTTTAAGTCTTTGTATTTATGTCAAATTATAAATATGTTATGAAATATAAAAGTTATATAAATGTGAAATATTGCATATAATATATGCTTTATA